TCTCGTAGATGCTACTTTATATCAACAATGTTAAATCTTAATAATGTTTATCGAAGATGATGAACTATTCTTTTTTAAAAAGAATTATAATGTTTTAGAAAGCTTTATAATGCTTTATAAATTTGTATTAGTTAGCATTTAGCAATGTTTTAAAAAAAATTATAATGCTTTATAAACTCGTATAAAATGAATTTTAAAGATTTTTTAATCATTTAAAAGGATTTTTCACTTTTAGTAAGGATGTCTAACCATCAGGCCACATAACCATTTGTTCATTATGCAAAACTTATTTCTAAATATCCACGAATGTAACATTGTTGTGATTAAAATCCAAGCCCAAACACGAGCCTTAAAAAATCCAAGAAAACCTCGTAGATGCTACTTTATATCAACAATATTAAAGCTTAATTATGTTTATCGAAGATGATGAATTATTTCTTTTTAAAAAGATTTATAATGTTTTGAAAAGTTATATAATGCTTTATAAACTCGTATTAGTTAGCATTTAGCAATGTTTTAAAAAGTTTTATAATGCTTTATAAACTCGTATGAAATGAATTTTAAAGATTTTTTAATCATTTAAAGAATTTTGCACTTTTAGTAAGGATGTGTAACCATCAAGCCACATAACCATCCGTTCATTATGCAAAAATTATTTCTAAATATCCACTAATGTAATATTGTTGTGGTTAAAATCCAAGAAAATCTCGTAGATGCTACTTTATATCAATAATGTTAAAGCTTAATTATGTTTATCGACGATGATGAATTATTCCTTTTTAAAAAGATTTATAATTTTTTAAAAAGTTTTATAATACTTTATAAACTCGTATTAGTTAGCATTTAGCAATGTTTTAAAAAGTTTTATAATCCTTTATAAACTCGTATGAAATAAACTTTAAATATTTTTTAATTATTTTAAAGGATTTTGCACTTTCAGTAAGGATGTGTAACCATCAAGCCACATAACCATTCGTTAATTAAGCAAAACTTATTTCTAAATATCCACTAATGTTATATTGTTGTGGTTAAAATCCAAGCCCAAACACGAACCCTAAAAAAATCCAAGAAAATCTCGTAAATGCTACTTTATATCAACAATGTTAAAGTTTAATTATGTTTATCGATGATAATGAATTATTCCTTTTTAAAAAGATTTATAATGTTTTAAAAAGTTTTATAATGCTTTATAAACTCGTATTAGTTAGCATTCAGCAATGTTTTAAAAAGTTTTATAATGCTTTGTCAAATAATATTAAAGATTTATTAAATCTATGTATGGAGATGTAGTAAGCTATTATACATACATTTGTTATATATATGATTTTATTAATTTTAAAATACGTATACATGTACTAATTTATAAATTTAAAAAGATGGTTTTAAATTATCAGAAATAATTACAATTGGATCTCAGGAAACGATATTTTTGACACCTACAAATACTAATCTGAAGTCGGGTAAATTGCAGGCTGTAATAAACTCATTTATTTAAATTATTTGTAGTTGTTGAACATGAAGTTTCTCACTAGAAGTGTCAGTCTTGTATATATCAGTTTCCAGGAAAGAGATCGGATCATGGAACATGAAATGATACTACGAGAGCTTGAGGCAATATTGTCGATCCACAAGCTGCTCAGATAAGGCAATCATCTAGACGCCTTGAGAGACGTCGCGAAACTCCCGCTCCTTCATCTCGATCCAAGATTGTCCAACACAATTACAGACGAGTTCCAAAGAGCATTCCCTTACTTCAAGACTTTTGTCCCTGATTTGCTGAAGGTTGTTCTGATTTGTCTGGACAACGTACCTGACACTGGTGCTCTACTCGTCAGAAAATAGCAAGGCAATACCAATGGAGTAAGTAAAGACAGCCAAATTGTGATAGTTCAAGCGATGAATTGCATTTAAGAGAATATACCTTCAATAGAACCAAGCGTTTCTGCAACCTCCTGTCTAACCATTGGGTGCTCATTCACATAGCGGCTTTGTTTTGTAATTGAATCAAGACACAGACAACCAAATAAATATTTACATCAATTAGACGGCAACACTTAACACATGATTTTTTTATCATAAAACACTTATACAGTGTTATGACTGGAGATAATAAAAGAAAGACTGAGATATAAGAACTTGACGAAACAGACTCATTCACATTCATCAACATCTTTGAAGAGTAAATGCTCACTAGAAAACAATGAGCAAAACTGAAAGTCATCAAATAAAGGAATATTAACAAACCTAGTGACGTAAAAGGGCACTACAGCACTCAAAGAATCAACTATGGCCGAAACAGCTTCCTATTCAAGTTGTCAAAAGTCAATTCCTTTCAATTTAATCACAAATAATCCAGAACCTACAAAACATCATCAAAATCAAAACTTGAATCATTACAAGCAGACAAAGATTGATAGAATTCTCAGTGTAGACCAACCAAAGAAGTTTGTTTGAGTAAAATATTTGTGCTAATCAATATCTGATCCGCCCTGATTCTAAAATCACACGATTTTTATTGGCGACTTTGATTTCGATCAAAATTCCAACAATCCATTGAGCAATCATAAACGAGAGCTTACCAAGTGATCGACTACAAGTCGCAAGACCAACTATCAGGCCCAATATAAAGCTCCACCGTCGCAAAACCATGCTCCGTCTCACACCTGTAAAATCCGCCGCGAAACAATTGATCAGAATATGAGAACTCCGTCGGAGATCTTCAAATGTGGCGTTAGTCTCGATATCCAGCAATCAGATTCCGGGTTAAACGTAAAATATAGCGACGAAAAACCCTCGATCAATCGAGATTTAAGAATTTTGTTCGCCGGCAACCTTTTTTTTTCCCTTAATCATCAAGGGTAATATAGTAATCCTCATATTAAAAAGCGTAGTATATCTAAAAATCTTTTATTTGATGGTATTTTTGAAAAAGATGATTTGGTAAATAGTATTTTTTAAAATTTTCCATATTCTGCTATATTTTCTTCTAAAATAGAGTTTGATTTCTTTCCAACCCATTCTATATTAGAAAAAATCTCTATTTTAGAAGAAAAAATAGAAATTGCAACTTTTTTCTTTATATTTAGAAGAAAAAAATAGAATTTCTTCTAAAATAAAATAAAGATGAATTAGAAAAAAAAAATACTGTATCTCTATTTTTACTTCTATTTTTTAAAAAATAAACAGAAATGTATTGGAAATGCTCTTAATCTCCTGTGTTATCTTGGAAGTAAGAATGATCATAGACAAAAGTGAACCTTTCCGCCTAACTTCTTCTCCAAATCTTTAATCTACTTTCACTCCATGTAAGTGTTTTGTATTTAATTCACGCAGAACTCTTGCCACCGCAAGTATTTCTTCTCGTCAATTGTAGCAGAAGCGAACTTTTGTGGTTCACCGAGGAGCGACGGCATAACCCCCAAAACTTTAGTTGTTCTGATCTAGGTCTATGGACTTAGAAGAGAGTCTAGCTTCTACCTTGCGTCTAATTGTATATTCTCCTTGCCGTTTTATCATGACTCTCCATTAGAGTAGTTTCTTTCGTAGGTATCACTCTCAAACTTTCAATTTTTTGGTAATTTCTTTCACGTAGCAAGTGCATGGAGATGGAGTAAAAGAATTTCATCTTCCCTAGACCAGGGTCCATCACCTAGATGAAGACTTTATATAAATATAAGATTCAATGTTACACCAAATCAACGCTGATCCTTTGAGGAAAGGAACATCAAGGGAAGGTCCGTCTGGATCCTCCATCGCACTTCTAAGTTAAGGAATATCAGTGGTCAACATTCTATGTCTTTCTAATCTCTATAATCTTCTATAACACTTTGACCACCGCGTACCAATTGCAAATTTCAAAGACTCAACCGATCACAATTTTACCAAAGGTTTTGAGCTTCGCATCAAAATAAACGATACTAGTATAGTAGAGGTGATCTTGCTGGATACTTAATTTCTATGGGTAAAAAACTACTTGCTCTTACCTCATTTCATGTTTTCAATTTCCGGGCTTTTTGGTATATTGGTCTATTTTCTCTTTTATTACATATCAATAGAATTTTTTTTACTTCGAAAAACATTTTATCAATCCAAATATGAATCTTCAGATAACGTAAGTGTTTTTTCGTCTATTATTATGCTGTAAGCTGATGACTTTTATGAATACTTTTTTTTTGGTACGATTCAGAGGATTAAAACATCCCCTAATTTTATTAAGAAAGTGAGTCCTTACAATCGAATAAAGTGAGGCCTCGAAGAACATTAAAGTCCTCTGCCAAAATCGAAATCAAGCTATCAGGAACATCATCAAACGAATGAAAACTCAAAAGTAAAGTAAACATATAGTTAGCTAACCCATCTGCAAGGCAGTTAACCTCTCTATACACGCAGCCCCGACTCAATGATATTGAGAGTCCAAGGGCAAAACAAATTTTTGGGCCTCCTAACATATATATTTCACTATATTTTGAATATTTGGGCCTTCTAATATAAAAATTTACACTAAATTTTAAAATTTTGAGCTTTTTTAATAAAATTTTCATTAATAAATACTAATTTAAATTAAAAATATAACTATTTGGACTTATTTATTTTAAAACAGACCCTATTATATACATAATTTTAAGAATAAATAGTTTGAGCCCCTGGGCGGATGCACTTCTGCCCACCCCACTTGGACCGGAGCTGTATACACGTGAGTAATACGAACTATCCATCTCTCGATAAGAAATCATAGCACAATCACACTATAAAAGACAGATGATAGTAATCGCTGATCCCTCAATCCGCGTAGCTCTCCACTCCCAGACTATACCATAATAAACTCTCGACATTTCCGCAATTGGATACTACTTTTATGAATACTACTCACGCTTCTATTCTTCTTATCGATTTAGCATAAAAAATATAAGTATTAATCATAAATTAGAAAATATATAATAAAATGTTAATCCGTATTTATACGCCGGTTATGATAATAAGTGCTTATAGACTAAGTTCGATTATAATCAAAAACAAAAATTAGACAAGGTTCATCAAAAAGAAAATCCACGTAAACAATGAGTAACGGATATTATAACATTTAACTTAAATTGTACTAGTAACAGATATTATAATGTTACTCGTAACAGATATGATAACATTTAATATCAACATACCAACAAACACGCGTAAGACCGAGCATACGAATAACAACAGATGATCAAAGTTGCAGAGATAGAGAGAGAGGGTGATAAGAGAACTCATCATGTTCAAATTACTAATTTGAGCCCCTTTTCCTTCAACGACCAGAGAGACTAATCTGCTCATAGTTTTTATCAACAGACTCTTTAACAGCATCAACTACAAGCTGTGTCTTCCTGCTAATGCTCGGCCAAAACCCATCAGGCTTCGCACCATTGTTCTTGATTTCACCAACCAATCGAGCAAACTCTCTCACCATACACGCTTCTTGTGGAAGCTCTGTCTTAACCGTGTGTTCGCTCGGCGGGTTAACCCACGCGGTCACGAGCTCATTGAACCAAGCTTTAGTGCTCGTGGTGAACGATGCCTCGGTCTCTTTAAACGGGATGATGAAGTCGTGAACACGAAGCGTGCCTTTGGTTCCAATGGCGGTTATCTCCATTGTTAGATTAGCTAAGAAAGAGCAGTATATGGTTGCGTTTCTCCCGTCTTCCCAGGTTAGAGATGCTCCACATGAGAGGATCACTCCTGCCTCGTTTAAGACAGCGCCGGGGAAAGCAGTGACGGTTTGTGGAAGCTCGAAGTTATTGGCTAAGAGTGTTGCTCGGATCGCGTACCATCCAGCGTCTCCGAGAGCACCAAGCCCATCAAGGCCTGGTTTCACACGGATGTCGTTTTTGAGGAAGTCTTCGTCTCCAGCAAATGAGAAGCAACTCTGTACCTGCACAGATACCAACATCGAGTAGAGAATAAGAGTTTCAAGAGACTGTTCTTGATACTATTCAATCTTCAAGAAACAAGAAACCAAACTAATTATGTTGCTTACTGTTGATTCTGTCAAGAAACTCATAATTTTTATACAAGCCAGAAACTTTATTATTGAAATGGGAAGCTCGTTTTCTATGAAGCAAACACTATATGTTCCCAGATGCAGAAGATTTCTACAAGTCAATCATCCATGCATGATTCTAATTCGATAACTCTCATCAGAAATTGAAGAAATCCATATCGATATATCCAATTTCATAAAATAAAAGAGAAAACGTTACAGTTTTTTAGCTGACTAAAACGGTCTGAATCAGAGAGAAACTATCAAGAGACAGCCCTTGAGACTATCCAATCTTAAAGAAACGAAGAAACAACACTAATTATGTTGTTTACTGTTAAATCTCTCGAGAAACTCAAAAATTGTACACAATCCAGAAACTTTATTATTGACATGGGAAGCTCCTTTTCTATAAAAAGGAAACACTATATGTTCTTTAGATGCAGAAAATCAAATCATTCACAAGAGAGTAGCAACAAGTTGTTAATATGTGTATTAACTCATTTGATTAAATCTAGAGACTAAGAACATGTTTCTATTCATGATTCCAACTCTATAACCCTAATCTCAGAACCAGAGCTATTGAAACTGAACCACAGCTATCAAACACTATTTGTTCTACGATAAAATGCAGAAGAATTTTACATGTCAATCATTCAAAGAGAGTAGTAGTAAGATGTTAATATGAATATCAACTAAGTTGATCAAATCTAGAGACTGGGAACATCTACTATGCATGATTCCAACTTCATAACTCTAATCTGAATCGAAGAAACCCATTTCATGAAATAAAAGAGAGAACTTTACGGTTTTGAGCTAAATGTCAATCATTCAAAGAGAGCAGTAACAAGTTGTTAGAGACTAAGAACAACTTCTATACACGATTTTCAACTCTATAACCCTAATCTCAGAACCAGAGCTACTGAAATTAGTAAAACCCATATCGATTTATCCAATTTCATGAAATAAAAGAAAGAACTTTACTGTTTTGAGCTGGCCAAAACGTTCTGAATCAGAGAGAAACTCCTTAAGCTTAGCCGTTCTAGGGTTATGAACCCACATAGTACCATCCATGATCTGAACACCATTTGCTTCACAAGCAGCAACAATCTTATCAAACTCAGCGACATTCATAGCCACAGGTTTCTCCAGAAGTATGTGTTTCCCTTTCTCGGCGGCGCGTATAGCCCACTCGACGTGGAGACTAGTGGGTAAAGGAACGTAGAGAGCATCAACCTCTGGATCTTCGAGAATCGATTCGTAAGAGCCGTGGATTTTTGTCGATTCAGGGTAGTTATTGGAGAGAGCGAAAGATTTGGCCTTTTCTAAGGAGCGGCTTGCGACGGCGACGATTTTGGCGTTTGGAGCTAGGTTGATCGCGCGAGAGACTTTTCTAGCGATATCGGCGCAACCCATAACTCCGATTCGGATTTGGGTTTCGGTGGCCATTGTTGTGGATGATGTTTCCGGCGGCAGATGAGAGACAGAGAGAGAGAGAGAGAGAGAGAGAGAGACAAAGATGTGTGGAGATTTAGGATAACAGACAAGAGAAGTTAATCGAAAGAAGAGACCACCTCGAATCGAGGACACAACAATTGGGAGTTTGTGCTTTTTTTTTTTTGACGTAATTGGGAGTTTGTGCTTTTGGTGGGAAGTTTGGTAAGAAACAAAACGAAACGTTGTTTTAATAATATAGACATATAGTGAGTTTTTGTTAGGAGATATGATTCTTAATTTAGAGATTAGTTTAAGATAAGTAATTCAGAATCTCAGATGTCCAAATCCTCTTATTCAAAAAGGCTCCTATTGATATCATATTAAAATTGGTAAAACGGTAGGAAAAAATAGAAATGTGGAATAATTTATTATGCAATTACAGAATATATTTTTAATATAATAAATAAATTATGCAGAATAATAAAATATAATTACAATTTTTATTATTATAATATATTCTATATATTTTTATGAAAATTAAAGTATCACAATTTAATATAATTAAAGTATTACAATTTAATTGAATTTCAGCTAAATTGTTTTGAATGATAGTCATATTGTTATGAATTTTTACAATTGGAGTTGTTGTATTTGGAGCATAATGTCACAGACTTGATATTTGAGATCAATTCCGTGCGGTCTTTGCCCCAACAAATAGACTAGGCAGCCTGACTCACAAGAAAACCCAACCCTTTTTAGACTAAACTTGAAAGAAAAAAGGAAAAATGTTTGAATAGCTCTCTTATTCAAGAAATGAGTGCGTGATTACAAATGAGGGATCCCACCCCTATTTATACAAAAACACCTCCAAGATGGATGGTGAGGATCAACTTGATCTAAGGGCTCATATTGAAGATATGACCTTAACTCCAAGATCTGCAACTAATAAGGACGGATTTGTAGGGATTTGGACGGATCTGTAGGGATTGATGGGTTGACTGAGCAGATTCTTTGGGATCCTCATAATTGCTATCAACCTTCTAGAAGCCCTTACAAAGCCAGCCATCGTGATAACCTCGAGTAGAGCCTTGCTGGTCCGGTTTAAATAGATGCTATGCAAAATGGGCCGTGACATTCTCCCCCACCTAATTCGGCAACGCCCTCGTTGTCGTGAAAGTCTTGTGTTGGTCTGTGAGTTGTCATAGTTCTTTCTCCGGTTCACATTTTGCTGCCCCTCGTCACCCCTTTTTTCCATCCGTTTGCGGGACTTCTTCAAACAAACCCGGGCAATGTTAGGATGATCATCCCATGTTCTGACCATCTTAACCACTTCTCGACCTCTTGACTTGACTATCGGTGTGACCAAGGTCTGCTGAGTTAACTCTAATAACTCCACGGGTTCTTTGGTTTCCCCTTTGTCTTGCTGACACAACAGGTAAGTCTTCCCCAACTCTTTGCCAGTGGTATCAGGGTTTAATCCTTCCCGATCCTGAGCCACGACCGTATCCAGGACATGACTGATCGCCGGAAGATCTGCATGACTGGAGGGAACTATGTGATGTGGTGGCTCGACTCCTACTTCCATCTCAATCTGATGAACTACCTCCCTCCTTGGTGGTAGCTCCTTGGGCAGCTCAGGTGGCATGATGTCTTTGTTCCACTGAAAGAGTGCCTTGATCATGGGTGAAGAGATACTTTCTTCCCCTATCCCATCATCCACTTTCTTTACTCCCTTAGTGAGTTGCATCGCCGAGAGCTGCCTGTTCATGTCTCCTTTCTCATTGGGTGACTTCACGGTTGGGATCATGCATACTGAACCCTTTTTAAGTATACAGACTATGTTAAGGGCAGGCATTGGGATCGCCGAGACTTGCCTCTGAAAGTCTAAACCCAACACTACCTTGAAGTCATCCATTTGCGCCACTGAGAAGTTCACCGGACCCTTCCAAGCTCCCACACTAAGCTTGACATCCCTGGCGACTCCCTGTAGTGGTTTGGCTTTGGCGTTCACTGCTTTCAGCCAACCCTCACCCTTGGTCCATGTGAGACCAAGTCTTCTTGCTTCCTCAACTGATATGAAATTATGGGTTGCGCCCGTGTCCACCATCGCTTGTGTTGGTTGCCCGTTAATGACGACTTCAACATACATCAATCCCTTACTTGTTACTTTGGACACTGGATTTGTCCTTAGGGCATTGAGCAGTTGAAGAGATCCCATTATCTCGACCTCCTTCTCTTGAGTTTTGGCCTCTCTTTGCTCAAGAAGGGCGGACAAAGAACCCAGTTTTGGGCACTCCCTTGCTGGGTGTGGTCCCTTGCACACATAACATCCGCTTCTCGGTACAAAAGTGCGCTTCTTCGCCTCGTACTCTCCACGCCTCGAATCTCTTCCCTGGTTCCGAGCCTCATACCCGTCACGCCTCGAGTCTCTTCCCTGGTTCCGAGTGTTAGACGGTGTCACCTGGTCTTGCTTCTCTTCCTCCAAAGGTCAAACCACTTTTTCTTTTCTCTTGAAGTCCTCTGTCTGGTTTTCCTCATAAAAATCAGAAAGAGATTCAGCCGCGGCAATGGCTTCGTCCACAGACTTCACCCCACGCTGCTGCAACTCCTGTTTAGTCCATCCTTGGAGCCCATCCACGAAATAAAACACCAAGTCTTGGTCGGACAGGTTTGGAATCTACAATGAGAGAGTAGTGAAATCCTTGACATACTCTCGAATTCTACCCCTCTCTCGAAGTTCCCTCAGCTTCCTCCGAGCCTCATAGACAACATTCTCCAGGTAGAACTGCCGTTTGAGTTCCTTCTTGAACTCCTCCCACGTGTCCATCCGGCATGTGCCCCTCTCAATGTCACTATGGCGCCTCCGCCACCACAGCATGGCCGTATCCGTAAGGTAGGATGTGGCCGCCTTGATCTTTGCCGACTCATCGGTAAGACCAAGATTATCAAAATACTGCTCCATTTGCCATAGGAAGTTCTCAACTTCCTTGGCATCCCTTGAGCCATCAAAACGGGAGGGTCTCGGGAAATCCACTCTTCCTGTCCCGGGGTTGTTGGTACCTCCATTGGCAACTGCTTTCTTGCACAATGCGAGATCTTCTTGCATCACCTCGATGCTCACCTTCAACGACTGGACCGCCCCCATCACTGTCTCCTCCAACCTGGTGAATCGCCCCTCGATCCCACCCAAGTCATTCTTGACTTCTGCCATCTCGTTGAACAGTGCGTTCTCGAGTTCAGAAGTCGAGTGTTCGACTCGCTCTAGTCGTTCACCCATATCGGTAATGGCTATCCCCATAGCCCCGACCTCATCACGGACCTTGCTCCTGTCGCGCTTCCTCCTGGTAATGTTCTCAAGGCCGTCTTGGTCTTCGCCTCCATTGGTACCCCTGAGAACATCCTCGGTGTTCGACATTGCTCGGCCTTTGAACGGAACCTGGCTCTGATACCACGTGTCACGGACTTGATATTTGGGATCAATTCCGTGCGGCCCTAGCCTCTCTTTGCCCCAACAAATAGACTAGGCAGCCTGACTCACAAGAAAACCCAACCCTTTTTAGACTAAACTTGAAAGAAAAAAGAAAAAATGTTTGAATAGCTCTCTTATTCAAGAAATGAGTGAGTGATTACAAATGAGGGATCCCACTCCTATTTATACAAAAACACCTCCAAGATGGATGGTGAGGATCAACTTGATCTAAGGGCTCATATTGAAGATATGGCCTTAACTCCAAGATCTGCAACTAATGAGGACGGATTTGTAGGGATTTGGACGGATCTGTAGGGATTGATGGGTTGACTGAGCAGATTCTTTGGGATCCTCATAATTGCTAATCAACCTTCTAGAAGCCCTTACAAAGCCAGCCATCGTGATAACCTCGAGTAGAGCCTTGCTGGTCCGGTCCAGTTAGATGCTATGCAAAATGGGCCGTGACAATAAGCTGTTTATGTCCAAATCTTGTGAAAGCTGAGAGTTATTGGCGCCAACTGCTTGAGAAGAAGAACATTGATGTTGTTGAATGTAAGGGTCTCCATTGAACTGTTGTTGACATACATCATAGCCTTGTCTCATTGTTTGCTCCTTTTGGATCTGAACATATTTGATTTGATGCTCCTTGTAGTGGCTATGTGGATCAACTGTTTGAATATATTTGGTGGCTCTATTGAACAACATGTCTACTTTTTCCTGCAAAGCTTTCATCTCATGCATTGCTGTTTCATACTTCTCTTCAGCTGCCTTTGCATGTTGCTCAAACTCATCCACATAATCCCAATTGCTGAGCGTCATGTTCTCCACTAATATTCATTCTTCATCAACATCTTTGCCAAGGAAGTAGCCATTACTAGCTGTATCAAGAAGGATTCTTATTTTTGGTAGAACACCTCTATAGAGAGTGGAGAGAAGCATTTCCTTTGTAAAACCATGATGAGGGCATTGTTGAGTGAAGCCTCTAAATCTTTTCCAAGTATCTCCAAAGCTCTCACTAGACCATTGCTTGAAGTTTGAGATCTCATTCCTGAATTTGGCAGTTCTTGAGGGAGAGAAGAACTTGGTTAAGAAAACACCTTTGCATTGTTCCCAAGTGGTGATGCTGCCTTGTGCTATTTTCCCACATTTGAGCTCTATCACCAAGAGAGAATGGAACTAATCTGAGATTCAAACCATCATTTGAAACTCCACTAAGCTTTTTCATAGCACAAATCCTCTCAAAGTGATCCAAGTGTTCAAGAGGTTCTTGGTTAGGCAATCCAAAGAACTTCCTCTCTTGAATCATAGCAATCATGCTGCTCTTTATCTCATAGTGGTGAGTCTCCATATGTGAAAGAATACCTTGCCTTGAAGCATATCTTGATGGTATATCTGTAGCACCTATAGGTCTCAATGGTCTTTGAACCCAAGCTCCTTGTAAACCATGTGGACCTTGCTGTCCTTGTAAGCCTTGGATCTCTTGAAGACCTTGTGGACCTTGCAACCCAAAACCAGCAGCATACTGATGTTCCTCCATGCTTCAACAACTGATTTCTGCTGCTTCAAACCCAAAGTCCTTAACCTTGAACCTTAGTTGTAGTTGTAGACACTTAAGAGCAAGTGTTTTGGTATCTACAAAAGAAATTCTAGACCAAAAGAGAAATCAGTAACCAAAAACGAAAATAAGAAATGTTGATCTCAAGATTTCTACAAATCCTACTGAACAAAGCATTCCTTTATTGGCAACGGCACCAAATTGATGTAGGTTTTTGGCCTATCTTAAT